TGAATATTTTTCTTTCATTTTATTACATTTTGTGAGTGATTTGGAAAGGGTTAAAAAGCTTTATCACCGTATCACCCGACATTTGTGAAACTTTAAACAAAAAAAAAGGTTTGGGATGGATCTTCAAGGTGGGCAATTATTTGTTAACCCAACTTTCGACGACTGGATCCACGAAAACAGCCTTCCTCCATCGCCTTTGAGTTTTTCACGTCCGTTGCAGTACCGCGCAGAGGTTCCTGCTCCTGCTGTAACCAATAGTTATCGCCAGGCACAATGTGAGAGGGAAGCACGCGTCAAGAGAAAACCTCCTGTACGATCAAACCGGTCACAGTTGACACTCTTGACTCTTGTGTGCTTGGTGACTTTTGTGATATTTGTGATGATTCTTATGATATTCGCTGGGGGAACATTGAAGGGTTGCAGCTGTCCCGTGAACGAAGGTTAGCACATTATTTTCTTTTTAAAAACTACTGGTAATACACAGATTGTGAAATGCCCAAGTTGCATTTCTCATTCCTGTGATTGGCGAAATTATTTTCAGGTTAAGATGTTTTCCATATTTGAAGCATTCTTCATTTCTCTTGGAGTTAAACTAGACATCATTATAAAAGCAAGTTTCTTTTAGGAAAAAATGTATTTGCCTTAAAACTGGTAAAGACGTGCCATATTATCTCGTTTGAACGAGCGTTTATATGTACAAGCGTTTGTTTCTTGATAGCATTGGAATTCATAACCCTGTCATTATGCGTGATCAGTCAAAAAATCTTGCCAAGGCAAGTTCTAATTTTCCGCCCGTTTCTCTTGATTTGCAAAATTAGTTAGATTCTGCGAAGGTTTACTAAGACACCAGCATGGACGAATTCCTCATAAACAATTTCGAAAGCAGATCTACACCGTAACAGTCATTATTACTCATTTTAAGGCCAATTCTAGCCTTTAAGTTATCTGCAAGTATAAACCATTTGCATGTTACATCTAAAAATTGACTATTTTCCTAAGGTTTTATCGCCTTTGATGAATTTGCAAGTAAAATAATGCAGTTAAAATGTTGAACCTACTTTTCTCTAAATTCGCGAGGGTCAATGCTCTAATTTAGGTAACTTGGTGGAAATGAAGCAATGCATCTAGCAAGAATGAAATGCTCCGTGCTAAAAATAGCCGTGACCCTCTTACTTATTTCTACTGAGACTCCGTAGTTTTATACACTTTCAAACAGACAAACAGAGACAATGACAAGAGCTGTTGTTAATAGGTATCGCTAAATGCACAGCACTTGGCAACAAATAAATATAGACACAGAAAAGGTTGCCACCAAGATCGTTGAAAAGAGGATTCCGATCTTGGGTGAACGTAAAAGTTCGAAGGATACTCATAAGAAACTAAAAGACTGTTTCTAGAAAATTACCTTAGCAGCTTAATTACCGACATAATTAAAAAATATGAATCATAGAACTAATTCACTAAGAAGTAAGTTATCAAAGTCGGAAATTAAAGCTAAAGAATTCAAACCAATATAAGCAGAGAGGGAACTCAATCCAGGCCTCACCTATCGGTAGGTCTTTGATTGAATACAAAAAGGCTTACACAGAATTTACTCCAAAGGTTTTTTTTTTCTTTTTTCATGAAAGTCTGCTTCATTCCGCTAATGATTTTAGCAAACATCACGGCATAGTGGTCACCAGACCGAGACGGCGTTTCCCTTGCGGTCAGATCAGTGAATGAATGATACCTTCAATCAATTTTTCTCAAAGAATCTAATTCCCTGTGTTCTTAAGACTGAAATAAAGATTAACCCATGGTAATTAATAGCTGTTGCATTTTTGAAGCTCGTGATTTTGTACAGGACTTCAGTCAAATCGATATGAACAGGAGATCAGTGCCATGCAAAGTTCAAAGTGCGCTTATGGAGAAAAATGGATTGTTTTAAAAAAAGGTTTTGTGAACATATTCCAACCATAGCAAGTGTAATGAGACTTAAAACGCGGAGGAGTCTTTTCATTTTATATTACATGCATATTCCCCTGATCTTTTCAGAGCTAAAGAAAGTTGATTCTTGAATAAAGGCTGATAGTTTCTAAAGAAACTGTTAGGGGCTGCTTCGGTGGGGGTAACGAAATAATTTGGATATATCAACAAAGTTGAAATGGTAAATTGGCCACCGTAACGATTACAAAAGCTGACGTTTTCAGCGTTAGCCCTTCGTCGGAGTGAATAGAGGAATTGTGGGTTGTGTGTGCTTTTAAAGGCAGAAAATGGAGCTACGTTATTGGTGCCTTTAAAAGCACATAAAACCCACAATTCACATTGAACTTCATATATTCATTGTCTCTCATTTCAACTTTGTTGATATATCCAAATTATAAAGTTGATTCTTGTTCAGGCGTGGATCAAGGAGAAGTGTTGTTGTAATATCTCTCAGTTAGTACGAGCGCTGCGACCTGAGAAATTCAAAAGTTTGTTTGAATCGAAATCCTGCCCCCCCCCCTTCCCCGTTAATGAAGGATATGATGAATGTCTCATCAACCTCGTTTTCTCGGCCTGTACTGTAAATTACGAAAATTCGTCCTTTCAGCCCAGATTCATGGCCTTCGTGCTTGGCTGATAAATGAGTGGAAAAACTTACAACATACAGACCTCGATCTCGGTTAGTGAATGGTAGTTATTCCTCGTTTCTCTAGGGAATTCTCCTGACACTCGCAGTTTCGCTACTGCCTTACCCACTGATGTATTAGTCAGGATCAAGGGGTTGGAGGAGAATGTTACAAGTCTTCAAATACGTTTGGTAAGTAAATGGAAAATGAAGAGGAAAGTTTTGAGCGAATGAATGAATCAGTCCTACATCGAGAAATAAGTATGCGGAGTAAAGTGACAAGTAATTTCAAGAAAAATATACGTTGTTAGACCTAACACTCTGATGGCATTCTTCAGGATAAGGTATTAAGTATGTTTAGCTCTCCCTTTTTAGGATCGCCAAGGAAGATATGGAAATGGAGACTCATGTACCACAATTTACTCATTGCATTAACATGCGACTGTAAAGTAGCGCCTAATCTGCTTCGACATGATATTCAAGCAGGCAGCTGTCGAGATTCATTCCGAGAGACAAACTTCTTTTCTTATTTTTAGGAAAAGGAATAAATACAGGTTCAATTACTTAGATTGTACTATCTCAGGATTGGTCAACTGGCAGAAAAATTTCACCCCTTTTCGTAATAATAGTCAGCAAAAAAGAGGTATAGAGAGACAGAATCGTTATACCAGAATGCAAATAAAAAATTCAAATTTATGCATTTGAGTGTTCACCCTTGGGGTTGCAGTCTCTAGTTTGCAAGAGTATGATGTAACTCTACTATAACGTATTTGCTTTGCATGTACAAGGAAGAGAAAAACCAAGAACTAATGGAGATTCGTCTGCTCTTTCCAAAACTTGAAGAAGASTTCGGTTCGGAGTTAAATTCAACAAGAAGTAACCTGCAGGATGCAAACGCAAAGTTGCAGAAATCTTTGACGACCATTAATTCATCTCTCGTGGAAAAGGTTAGGAGAGTGATTTACATTTCAGAGAAAATACTTTCTTTCCACTTAATGTGCCAGGTCTCTCACTAATAAACACGTGTACTAGATAATATTCATCTTCTGATTGTCTTATTTTTCAGAGTGACCGTCTGGCCTTAAAGACGACCAAGTTATCGTCAGACCTGGAAACGTCATTAAGTAATGTTCAAAAGCTTTACAAGGCACTTGAAAACACAAGAAGTGAGGTAGGTTTGCTTTGAGGTAAACATCGAGTAGAGATTCACAGGTCAATTTGTCTTGACTCTGTCCAAGCTCTGCTTAGGCACATTTCACAAGTAGTTTGCCGTCATTCGTTTCAAAATCCGATATATATGTTGTTATAGGTGTATTCAATTTTCAGGATTGCAACATCATATATAAAATGATAAAGTTACTGATGATTTGTCAATATTTCTATTTTTCTAGTTGCAAGAGAATGTTTCAAGTTTGAACTCTTCAGTTGCCAAACTACACCAAAGTCTGGAAGAAATCAGCACGAATAATTCCAGACAGGTAAATGAAGGGAAACAACATATACTTAATCATTTTCACTCCAAGTGGGTCCTTTTTTCTTTTTTTATGGGGTATATCACTGGATAGTACCCAAGTCTAGTTGGAGCACATTCAATCAGGTAATTCGCTGAGGCAAATTGCGAAAATATTTCCTGAATTATGATTCCAATTATTTTGTTGATGACTCTTATCAGGTTGATCACCTTATCTCACAGATGCCAACTTTACATACTTTAGCTAATCAAACCAAGGAAAACTTCAATGATTTCAAATTGAGACTGAAAGTTCTTTTTTATCGGTAGGGGTGTGAATTTGCTTTAGTATAGCTCCTTTTCTCTGATTAAAGTTCAATTATGGAATTGCGTACGATCGCAAAAATGGCGGCAATAATGATGATGACGACTAGCGGAAGAGATGCTGTAAAGGTGATAGCTCTAAGGAGAATAAAGAGCCGGCTGTGATTGTACTGATAATACTATTGGTGCTAATAGTGACAAAATCATCTCCTGTGTCTCTCTTATTCCCAACCCCCGCAGCGAATGGGTACAGGAGAGGTCCTGGGAATAAGGCCAAGTTGGTGACGAATTATTCCAGAGATGGCTTTGTTTTCTGAGCCGAAATTATAGATCCTCTTAAGGAAGCATATAAGTTCTCGTCTACTTTGGAGAGCTAATCAAAGATGAATGAGGAAGTTATTATAAACCTCTCTTACGATTTCTCCTTTTGAACTACCTCCTAATCTCAGAATTGTGCCTTAGGTCAACACTAGGCTCAAACGCTTAGAGGAAAATTTAAATATGACAGAAAACAAGTTAGTCATGGCGATGTCTGAAACGAAAGTAAACGTGAGTATACCTCTTTTACTCCGTCTAAAAGGTATTTACTTCGGTAACACTTTATTTTTACACTCAAGTGAGAGGTTTGTTACATTCACCCATCGTGTAAAATGCCATCATTTGTGAAATAATGACTCGGTAATGGAGCTTTTCGGAAAGTTCGAAAAAAAAGTCGACCAGAATGCAGACCGCAACCATCCCTGAATGCAAAGAAAAATCATTCAACCTGCCTATTCCTACTAAAAGAACGGCATAAGTAAAAGCCACTTAATGATAAAAACTCACGTTGGTTCAGCCAAGATTATTGTGTCGTTCTTGTCTTTCAAAAGCTTAACAGCACCACAGAAAGACTTATTCAAGGAGATGCCAACCTCAGGAATCTGCTTGGCGCCATCAACATCACTTTATACTTGAAGGTATCATATGGAGCTTCAATTCTTTAATCACTTCTAATTAATCCTTGAAGAAAGCGTAGCGAAACCACGGTCAATTTATTTCTAGTGCAAAAAAAAACTTCTAAAATCATATTTGCTCTTGCCACTGTGGAGGAGACTACAAGGACACCCTTTATTGACAATTATTACCTGTTAAAGTGTTCACCATGAGATGATGAGATCCTCGGGTTTATAGTGATCAAGATAATATAGTTATATACACTTGGAAAGGTATGGTAGCTTGATACGAGAGAGTATGGACTGTTTATTTTCTTTTCCTTAATACTACTACAAAAGAACGGTTCTTTTTGGAGGAGAACAGGTCTCATGGGCTGTGTAGAATGTAAAACTCTATGGTATAGTACAAATATTCAGCTCTTTTCGAACTCAAACCCAAACATCAATCACTTTAAAGGGTCAAAATTTGTTCCAACTGAAATGCAAAGCATCATGAGACAATATTGTTCCCGGTTGTTCTTTGTTCTTCTTGTTGTGGTTGTCTTAGTCGCTAAACGAGGATCGTACTGTCAAGAATGCATTTAAGAACTCGCCATTTAGGGTTTGGCCTGGATGTGATGATGAAGTACATGCCTCTCAGTTAGCTCTATTGGTTAGAGAGTCGGATTGTGTTGTGCGGTAGGTCGAGGGTTCGAGTCCCGGCCGGACCAATACTCATGGTCTTAAAATAAGTGAGGAGAAATTGCTACCTTTCTATAATCAAGAAACGGATAGATATACTAGTCTCCTCGGATAAGGACGAAAATACTGTAGGCCCCGTCTCCTGCAGGGTTAGGGGTAGGAGACATTAATTT